AATGTGTAGAGTGGGTTGTGGTCACTTTCCTTTTTCCCCTTATGGATTGCAAATTTGAATCTTTTTCTGTGGTTCATAGGAGGGATTTGAAAGATAAGATTTTTGTGTGTGTGTGACTTAATATATACAATAATATGGATAAATAGAATTGTTTGGTGCAATTTGATTATAATCTGATGTGACTCTTACCTTGATCTGGAGGCCATTTGCTCTACTGAAAAGGAAACAAGGCCAGGTGTGGTGGCTCATACCTGTACTTCCAGGACTTTGGGAGGCTGAAATGGATCCTTGAGGCCATGAGTTTAAGACCAGCCTGGCAACATAGTGAGATCACATCTGTACAAAAAATTTTTAAAGAATTAGCTAGGCGTGCTGGCACATACCTGTAGTCCCAGCACTTGGGAGGCTGAGGCAGGAGGATTGCTTGAGCCCAGGAGTTTGAGGTTGCAGCGAGCTATGATGATGTCACTGCTCTCTAGCTTTGGGGAAAAAGCAAGACTCTGTCTTAAAAGTAAACATGTAGATTAAGTACATGGGCTCAGTTATTGTGTTACTCTTTCAGGATAAACTGAAATGAAAAAGTCCCTGAATGGTAATTAGGTGTTGACCAAATTATTTACTGAATTTTAAAAGTGCCTTTTTAAAGACATTTTGAGGTATTTGCCCAAAGCAAAAAATAGTGATGCATATGTTTTTATCGTAAAGCGAGGATTAGATGGCATGTTTATGCTTCCCATTTGGAGTTTTCTTTCTCTTTTGCCTAGGCTGTCAGGAAGCTAATAGCTTTATTCATAGCTCTTATTATTGGAACCAAGAAAACATAACAGCACATTGTCTGGATTGACTTTTTTTTTTTAAATTGGATATTTTCTCACTTAGAGTTTTATGTTATTTTTTACAATAATTTAATAAACAGATCTGGCTGTCTTTCATCTGGGATTCTGTTATACTCTGGAGATCAGACTCTTTGAGGTTATAGTCTGAAAAGGGTTGGAGCTTAGGGATTTGATACTGCTGATTAAGAGCAGTTCTCACTGCTTTAAAAACCAAACCAGAAGTTGATGGAAATGATATGGCTACACTTGAGCCTAGCCGTTTACCACCTCTTGGAGGAGAATAGCAGGTATGCCTCCCTGTAGGTATAGCCCATAGTAATCCAAGAAAGCAGTTTTGGATCTGCCTTAGTGCTTGAACGATTACTGAATGGAGTTCCCAGAGTTCCACACTATGGATGGAACATGAGCAGAAGTAATTTGGGCCTGGAACTTTTTCAGAGCAAGTATTATTAGTAACATAAAGGCCATTCAGTAACTTCACAGTACTCCAGAGAATATCTGATTCTGAGCCTTGATGAGGTAGCTGCAGAATGTAATTTTCACTAATTGAATTAGTATGTTAAATTGTAGGGAATATCTGCTAAAGGTGATTTTTTAGAAAACATTTTATTTTGGAAAACTTTACCTAGAAAAGTTTATAGCAGTACAGTGAACCTCTATGAGCCTATGACTAGCTTTAACAATTACCAGTTTGTGGTTAATCTTATTATGTCTAAATCCCATTATTTCCCATCTCACATACTATTTAAGGCAAATGCCAGATATCATATAGTTTCATCTCTGTTTCAATATATCTTTCAAAGTACTTTAAAAAAAGGATAAAAGAGTTTTAATGACAGTACCATTATTATGCCTTTAAAAATTTAACGTATCATTAATATAAAACTACCAGGCAGCATTCA